GTGCGGAAGCCTGGTTGCAACAAAAGCAATCCAGGCTGGCAGTAAATGTATCACTTGAAGAATTAAGGCTCTGTTAAGTCATACCCACAGTAGAGTAATCACATGTGTCCCCAAGTTGAAAATTCCCTCTTTTAGAAGATCAATTTTATTGCAGCGCGAACGTGAGTGACTCATATATCCATGCAAATTGTAAATCATTGTATGGAAGCTTGACACATAAATGTAAGTGCAATTATCTGCCAGTATCTGTGATCCCATCCTATTATTACTAAAGGTAATGACTGATTGGTTATGACAAAGTATAACCAATAACTTAGATGGATGTTGGAAATTAAATGAATTCATTAAATCATCATTTATCAAGTATAAATCATGGAATGTCGAGTGGTGGAGTGAACTTCTACGTAGATACGCCATAATCACCTGCAAGTAACCAGTGTGAAGGTATCGAACTCTACGGTAAGAAATAAGAAGCACAACTTATATTTTCAGTGGTGGGCATAGCTAAACGAAGTTAGCTTCGCTATCTGCTAACTAAAAAGTTAACTTCGCTAACGCTAAACCGCTAAAAAAATTAGCGGAAGCTAACGCTAACCGCCAACCTTTATTATATGAATTTAACTTCGCTTTTTTTGGGGGGGGGGGCTCTAAAACCCTTAAAAACTGACCTAGAGAGCTTAAATTTTCATATGTTGTCTTGTAGCTTAGACATAGAGCTTTCCAAAAAGGTATAGCATGCCAAGATCAGATGATGATCAAGGTGTACACAAATAATTAAATGAACAAATGAAATTAAACATTAGCTTACATTCAAGTTTCAACATACACTTTATAATCTTTATTTACTGTATGAAAAGACAGAAAGTATTAAACGAATCCAAAAACTATAGTACTGTATAGCATAGGTAGCATTTTATATAACTTATTGTTGGTCTTAGTCATGTAAATAAACAGAAAACTCTAAACTTTAATGAAAAGTAAGTTTTTAGAAAATTTTGTTTGGCGCACACCTTGGATGACATCCTGGTTATGAACTTATCCAGTACTTAGCATAACCAAATATATTGACACAAAAAAATCCTAATTAAATTAACAAATAAATGATTCTTTTAACATACACTGACAGTCTTTATTTACTGTAAAAAAAAGTATTAAACTTTAATAATCGAAATATTCCATTCACTCCGGCTGCAGTGGCTGGGCCTTCTCCATCGCTGTCGCTGACACTGTAAGACTGCTTAGACCAGGGGGGAATTCAGGTTTTCAGGGGGGAAAACTGATTCGGGAGCAAGAGATATGTTCGATGAGAAATCAATCACAGAATTTTGGCCCTTGATGTGCGATTCCTACCCAAAAGTGGCAGAAAGAGCTATCCGTGCATTGCTTCCGTATGTGTCGACATATCTTTGTGAGTCAGGCTTTTCAACTCTGTTGCAAATTAAAACGAAGCAACGTAGTAGATTAGAGGTAGAAAATGACCTGCGTTGTGCCCTTTCAAGCACTCCTCCGCGTATCCCAGAATTGGCGAAGAAAAAACAATCACAGGTTCCTCATTGACTGTAATCTTCATCTGAATAAAATTAATTACAAATTTACAATATCCTGGTATTCTATTGAACTTTTTGTTTATTGCATTATGCTTCAGTTTCGTCTGTTAAGTAATTCATTATAAATAAAAAAAAAACTATTTTACTTTTATTCAAGTTTTATAAATCCATCAACATTTTCAATTGGCATTTAATTTGTAAAACTCCACTATAAAAATAATCCATGTAAAATTGTAAATGTATATGTACTAATATGGAAAAAATACAGGTTTTTCAGTATTATATGCGTATTATTTGGAATGCACTTTTTGAGGCAGACAATCTTGGAAAGGAGGGGGAATGACATTCTGACATATGGTGAAAGGGGTGCATGGGGCAAACAAGGTTGAGAACCACTGCTTTATATAATATAATCCACTCTTACACCACACCGATATACCAAAACCATGGCAACATCAAATGCTGTAAAAATTTATCTCTCCCGAACAACTCCTGTAAGATCGTCAACTGCCTCACGATACAGTCTTACCTTCAGTCAGTACTGGCAGGAGAACCTTTCTCTCACACGACATACATCATTATGGTGGACTTTTTATCAACATTTTCACATTAAAAAACAAATTCCAGATGTGTCTTTCCAGTTGCAAGTTGTTATATGATTGGCTTAGAATAAGAGATTATATAAGCTTTATGCTGATTGGCTATTTAGCTTATTCAGCATTTTTAAGGGGGTCACCTTGGCGTGAGGTGGTACAATGGATGGAGATTTTCTCTATAACACTCGGGCGACTTTAATGACCAACCGCGTCAGTGACACGCACTAGGAAGAGACGTCATGTTACCTTGGTCGACCTGTCAAAAAAAGAAGTCTTAACTTTAACTAATTCACTAATATCATGTGTATTATGCACTAACTGTAGGAATACCAGCAAAAAAAAAATAATTTCCAAAAGAATCCAGAATGTTTTTAGTCTTAATCATATTACATAAACAGCACCCACCCACCAAGAGTCACCAACCCACGGTCATTACCATGAAGCCTCAGTAAAATAGATCCAGAAACCAGCTGATAAAAAATCTATTACGTTATATATTTATTTATAAGTTTGTGTGGACAAGACCCGTGTGACCGGTGAAAGCATTACTTCCCGGAGGTGCCCAGGGGAAGGATAAGTATGGCGCTACTTATGTGTTATATTGAATAAATTTTTCCTGTCTATTGACGTCATTGGGCGGGGCTTTGGAGTAAAGTGAGGCGATATTATTTGTGAGGCACTGTTGCTGCTGCTGGCAAGGTAACCTGTACGTAAAAACTTGTTTGGTCTTCACGTGGTTGGTTGAGAGGTGCGTTTATCCCTACAGGTGTTGTGTGTGTGTGTGTGTGTGTGTTCAGCACGTGGTGAGGGGCATTGCTCTCCCTCACACCCTCACCACCTGCTGAAAACAGTCATTCATCACTTTACTATATTCCTCACTTTCATATTATGACACATCAGTATTATCTCCCTTCTATCAGTCTCCCAAAGTGCCCAGTAACCTACGACCTTTTCAATGATGACGAAGTGAAAATAGAGAGATAGAGATAACTTAGAGGAGTGCACTAGAAATTGACTCTCAACTTCACCTACCAAAACGTGGCAACCAGGAGAGCATAACTGGATACCAATACTGTACTTCAATTATACACAGATTCCCTCCCCAACACTGCCCTATCACGCCTCCTGGTGCCATGTGAAGCTCATGCCCAGAGGATGTGAGTTCCGTGGCTGTTCTATTCGTTCATTGTTTGTTTCCTTGCTTTTCGGGGCGTGGTCCCAGGTACTGGAAAGCTGAAATTTGGACACAATAGTGAACAAGTGCTCTGGCTTTCCTATCTTTTATTTATACTTTGTTCATGGTAGTGTCCATTGAACTTAACATTACTTGTTTTTGTAATAGAGATATATGTTCTGGTAAAAGATGTTGGTTTACTAAATTTTCTCTCTGCATAACGAAGAGAAAAATATTCAAAAAGTCATGCAATATATATCATTCATTTAATTTTTCATTTACAATCACGCAGAAGGAGTTAAAAATTCAGTAATAGACGTCAGCACTAAGGAATTTAATTTCGTAGGAAAGTGCAACTCGTTAGACGCATAGGATGACAAAACTAAACTTGAGAGTCAATTCTTAGAGCAACCAGCTTCCCTTCCATTTCAGGTCCAGAAGTTTTCTCTACTCCTCAATCTCCCATCCCACCAGAGCTCCTGGATGTGACGTCAGCGGGGTGTTTTCTTCACCCAGGACGTTGCCCAACGAGTATAAGATCACGGACAAGCACTCCACACCAGCATTTCAAAATTTTGCTCTCCTCTGATCAGAAGAGTCACTCCCGAGGGACATAGAAGAATTGGTCGAGTACAAGTGAAGTGCCATGCATCACTTTCAAAAACAGAAATTGAAGTGTTTCACAAAATCCAGTCACTGAGAAGAGAAGTGAATCGGCGAACCTCGATATAAGAATTGTATTGGAGGAGGAAGATTGTGAGTTATCAGTCGTGTTGGCAGGAGCTGAGGTACAACTCCCCAGCAGGATGGTGGCGGGAGGACTGTTGGCCGCCCTGCGGACAATCACCGTAGAACCTGTCATGCTCCTCGACGGAGCGTGCAAGGAGGCCATGCTCCTCTTTATCGAGAACGTCCAGATGAACAAGATATGCTCCGTCAACTTGGGGCTGTCACCGGAGGTAACTTTTCTAACTTGTGTCAGGAAGACTTGATAAACAGCATAGTTTAGTTTCATCACCAAACCAAAGTTATGAGATTAACAATATACAAACATGAGCACTTGTTAGTAAATATAGCTCTAAAGTTCAACAGTCATTGTATGTAAAATTTGTGATGGATTATGAAGAGTTTATCATGAGTACACTGTCAGTATAGACTGGTTGAGGAGGTGAGGAGTAACTGTGTGTCCTCTCAGGTGTGTGCCAACCTGTCAGCCCACCCGGAGCAAAGTGTGCTCGTCCAGCGAGAGTTCTCCCTCTTTGCTTTCTACAACAGCATCATCCTGTCGGTGCTGCCTCTCATATTCATGCTCTTCATGGGCGCCTGGAGTGATAAATACGGACGTAAGGTGAGTAAGGGACGTTCTCAGTCCTGACATCATATTCCTTAGAAATGTGGCATTTGATATTCCTGCTTGAATCGTCTATTTTATTGTATATACGAAAATTCTTACGAAAATAATATGTGAAACTAACCAACATTAACATCGAATACTGCGGCACAAAATACCTTCAGAATTTTCATTTTAACGGCTAAGATATATATCAATATATCATACAAAATAATATTCAAATTTTCCTTCTCAACATTCTAACAACGTGACTTTGGACAGATTCCTCTCCTGATGACGTTGGTGGGTCGTGTGTGGTATGCCGGGGGTTCCCTGTTGGTCAACTGGCAGACCAGCTGGCCCGTGGAGGTGCTCTACCTGGTGACACTCTTGGAGGCCCTGGGAGGAGCCAACGCCGGCCTCCTCTCCTCCACCATCAGCTACATCAGCGATATTTGTCATGAGAATCAGCGAACATCACGTATCAGCACCGCCAACTCCGTGTGGTTTTTGGGAGGTCCTTTGGGAACATTGATTGGCGCTCTTATCATTAAGTACAGCAGCTATGACCTGGCTCTGGGCCTCGTGCTGCTCGCCTATGTCGCCGCCGTCGCTTACGTCGTCGTCTTCATCAAGGAGAGCCACGGACCCTTCGCTAAGAAGACGCTCCAGGCCCAGAGCTCCATCAAGGACGAGCCCACCTTGGAGAAGAAGGACACGAAAGTCACCAACATGTTGACCGACTTCTTCAACTGGCGACGCGTGGTGGAGTCCTTCAAGACGGCGTTCAGGAAGCGTGAGGGTAACGCCCGTTGTCTCCTTATGGTTGTCATCATGGGCAACATGATTCGTCGTATGGCCAGAGGTAACCGTCTGTCTTAATTTCTATCTTCTCTTTAAAGTTCCTATGGTACAATGTCACTTGGCCATATTTAGTATACATTGTTAGTTTGACATATCAATGAAGAACTTAGAGTTTCGATCACACTAAAGCCCTTGTGGTTTGTGTTCCCGCAGGGTTCTTCATGTACATGTTTGTGCGTCGCGCCCTGCACTGGGAGGCCACCGACTACGGCTACTGGATCTCATACCGCAACCTGCTGGCTGCCCTCGGTAAGTCACACCCTGCTGGCCTACCTTGTTGTTATTACATCAACATTAGAATAGTTTAGGGCTCACGTTACATGGGAAGGGAAGGGAATTTCTCCATCAGATACAAGTCCAGGTCATGGGATCACTATCCTGACACCCTCTGGCCCAGTATATAATTATACTGACGTTGTTCACATCCACGTCCATACATATACTAATGACAGGTCAAACACATCACCTTGAGCACTAATCACACAGTTGGTCAACAGTGTGGCCAGAACAAGGTACACCCATTAGTGGTCATTAAGCTTGTTGTTGTTGTTGTATAGATTGTCGGACCGAAGTCCGACACGGGCCTTTGCCTATAGGCGGCCCGTTTGGTGGTTCCGGCTGGAGCTCCAGGAGCAGCCAGACCGGATTGGGATTGGAGGTGGTCCCACCTGCAGATTGGAGGGATACTGCAGGTTGCAAGTGTGAGCGGACCCCCGATCAGTGGACGCTTACCACCAGCCCCCACTCTTGGACGTGGTCCGCTTCGGAGTGGCGCGCCCCCCGAACTGGGGTCCGCACTTGCTGGGAGAGGATGCTTTCTAAGCTATCTGGGTGGTGGGTATCGTGTGATGACCCGGAGTAGGTGGTGAATGTGGTCTGTATGGGCCTTTCGGGTTAGAGTGGCCGCTGGTGTTGTGTGTTTCTTGGGAGATTTGAGTTCTGTTTCGGAGGCTTTGTGTGACCTCGCAATCGAGGAGATAGTGTTCAAGTGGGTTGGCTGCTGGCTCCTGACAGTAGGTGCATTCCGTGACGTCATTTCCGATCATCTGCCAGGAGCACTTGTACCCTAGTCGTAGTCGGTGAAGGCTGACTTGGGTTTGTCTTGGAGTTTTCTTGTCGGCGAAAGGTGGTTCCCCTTTTGTGGCCGCCAGGTACCATTTGGCTGATTGGGAACCAGCGTTGAGTGCATGAAGGAAGCTCTTTTTGATGTGGAGCTTGGTAGTCTTTCTGAGGTGATTCTTGATCTGTTGCACACTTGCTGGAACTTGGATGTGTACGCTACTAGAGCGTGTAGCTGCCTTGGCTGCTTCGTCTGCCACGTCGTTTCCTCCGATCCCTACATGACTGGGAATCCAGTGTAAGACGACTGGTCGGTTTTGGCTTTGGAATTCCTGTAGCTGTGCGAGGATCGAGGTGATGATGTGGACGTTGTCTCTTGGTTGACTGTGTTGCAGCGCCTGCATGGCCGATTTCGAGTCTGTGTGAATTATGACGGACTTGTTGTGTTGTGTTGCAGCGTGTTGTAGGGCCTTTGAGATTGCTACCAGTTCTGTTTGTAGGGTGGAGCAGTCGTTGGAAAGTCTCCATTGGAGGGTCTGACCTTGGGTGTAGAAGGCCGCTCCGGATCTATGATGTTTTGGGTCCACCGAGCCGTCTGTGAAGTACGATGTTGCATCAGCCGGTGTCTCGGTGGCTATGGCTTCGAGAGTTATTTTTTTGAGGTCCTCCTTCTGGAGGTTGGCTTTACTATCGCCTAGGTCGGTAAATTTGAGTGTGGCTGGTGGAGGGATCCATGGTGGAGGAACAGCGTAACCATTGTCTCGTGTGTCTTGGTTGTTCTTGATGAGTGTTTCTGCTTGCAGGTGTCGGATGACCTCGCTTGCCTCGTGCGACCAGGTGGCCCCTCGCACTCTGTGGTCGAGGTGGAGGGAGGCACTGATTCGAATCTTGGCAACTGTGGGCTTGTCTGCTCTACAGATTTTGGCGAGGAGACCGGCTGTCACCTGCTTGACCCGTACTGCCAGGGGTGGTAGCTCGGTTTCCATTTGCAGATTGCAAATTCTGGTCCACATGGGTGCTCCGAGCATGGTCCTGAGAGCATTGTTTTGAATGACTTCTAGCTTAGCTATTTGGTCTTCTCTCAGTCCAATGAGTGCTGGAGCCCTGTAATCTACCAGCGATCTGATGGCGGCTGTGTAGTAGGCTTTGAGCACATGAAGGTTTGCTCCTGCGGATTTGCTGGTGAGCGACCTCATTATATTGTGTCTGCTCTTCGTCCTGTGCCTGAGATACTCGAGTTGCAGCTTGAAGGTGAGTTTCTGGTCAAACCAGATTCCAAGACACTGGTGGGCGTTGGTCCAGACTACCGGCGTGTTTTGTATGGAGAGCATCTTGTCTGGTGTGTCTGTG